TCTTAACATACATAAGTTCTCTCTACATACCAAGTGTCGGTGTTTCGAGTCACCACCAACAAGTAAATTTCTAATATTGCGCGTCTAGCTCGGATGGTGTGCTTAGAGGACATGAGGTTTATACTGGTTCAGGCAGAATGTCCCTACGTCCAGTTCGTTGCTGCTGCTCCTGTTACTAACACTAAAAGTTCATAGTAGGGGTTACAAATAGGCGTGAGAGGGACATGTCCCAAGTCTCTGGTAAAAGGAGTGAACGGATGCTGAGAGCTCGGTTACTGCTTAGCTGTGTGATCGGTTCAGGGTTCGATGGATTTTTTTGCTTGAATCCGATCGGTCATCAGATGCCCTTCATGAGATGCCCTGCTTTCCCTTTTATAGGCCAAGGAAAAGCACGGGTTACAGCGGAGGAAAAGAGGAGAATGAGAGGGAGAAGAAGTCCTATAGGATTGCCGGATCCTTCTTCTCCTTCATGCAGGTTCCGCCGACCTTGTAGATGTCAACAGGGGCAGCTCCACGTCGTGGCCCTATCCGTCACTGGCGCCATGCGCAGGCGTCGTCTGCCGGTCATGGTGCTCCACTCCGTCCTAGCGGATATCGTGGTGAGCTAATGCGACTATCAGTGTTTGTACGAGGGTTAGGCAGAACAGTACCGGTACGCTCGACGCTATTCTTGATGTGAATCCTCAGGCATGGACCGTCGTGGTCGCGGGTTACATCAATGCGTGCCAGTCTTTTCCTTGGTGTCAAAGTTTTGACTCAGGCCCATATGCCTAGACCTGGGGTGGTTGGCGGCGGTATGGAACCCCATCATGCGAGACGGAGCCCGCACCCGAGGGGTCGGGCAAGGTGGAGCCTACCCCTAGAGGTCAGGCGAGGCGGATCATGTGGCCTCGGGGTCAGGCTAGGCGGAGCCTGCCCCTAGAGGTCGGACGAAGTGGAGCCTACCCCGATAGGTCGGATAAGGCGGAGCCCGTGGCCTTGGGATCGGGCGAGGAGGAGCCTACCCCATACGGCGAACAAGGCGGAGCCCGTGGCCTCGGGGTTGGGCGAGGTGGACCACGAACCCAAGGGCCAGACGAGGCAGAGCCCACGGCCTAGGGGTCAGGCGAGGCGGAGCTCTCCCCCAGGGACCGGGCGAGGCAGAGCGCAAACCCAACGGTCGGGTGAGGCGGAGCCTGTGTCCTTAGGGTCGGGCGAGACAGAGCGCAAACCCAAGGGTCGAGCGAGGTAGAGCCCTCCCCCAGGGGTCGGGCAAGGTGGAGCCTGTGGCCTCAGGGTTAGGCGAGGCAGAGCCCTCCCCCAGAGATTGGGTGAGGTGGAGCCTGTGGCCTCGGGGTCGGGCGAGGCAGAGCCCTCCCCTAGAGGTCGGGCGAGGCGGAGTTCGCCCCCAGAGGTCGGGCGAGGTGGAGCTTGTGCGCCTAGGGGTCGGTTCGAGCCATAGTCACGCTCTTGACCGCTCAGATGAATCAATGTTGATGGTCACTAGCTCCTCCTCTTCGGGTACCCTAGTATTGGTCCCCGACAGTAGCCCTCGAGCCTACGGAGGAGTAGAATACTCCTTCGGAGGCTTTTCTAAAAGGGAGTACTCTGATGGCATTGGCCTTCTTTTGTCACCCACGGCATGTCCTAGGGACTATAATCCCCTTTCATCGCGATCAGACCCCTCGGGGGTATAGCATTGAGGTTTGGTGGGTCGGAAATGGTCTTTCCCTGATTTTGGCCCCTACAGGGGTCTGTCGTTCTGCGATCGTGCGTTTGGTCTCCTTGAGAGTCCAACTTTCCTTGAGCCCCACGCGTAGCGGGGGTCCGGTCGAGGGTTGGTTCATCTTTGTGATCGTTACCCCATCCACAGTTTTCACAACCGGAGGGTTGAGCCGTGTCATGATTTTCCTCTATGGACGAACCATGGTGCTCGGTGAGCTGTTAGCTTGCTAGTCTGAGTGGGGCCCTGGCATCCCATTCACGGGGATCCAGCTCGAGTTAGCTGGTGACCGACTCCATGTTCTCAGCTGTCAATCCATATAGTTCTCGAATCCGTTCGACCAGTCCCGAGGGCTCCCTGCCTTTCTTTGACGAAAAACCATGGATCGTATCCGGCCGAGACTCGAACGTGGGCCGAGATGCCCGCGGCGCTCGTGCACCCGGGTACTGGCCACTAGCAGGCCCATCCCGTTCCAACCCTCGCTCTTAGGGTGCTCGGAACGGTTGTCGAACCCATCAGTGGGCCAACCTTCGAACTCTCAGGCCTAGACGGGCCGTAGGAGCGTTTTTAGCTCCGTATCCCTTTTACTTGTGACAGGGCATGGCCTGTTCAGAAAGACGAAACATCCGACGAGTTTTCTGAGGGAATGGACATAGGTTGCGTGCGCACATCCCGCAGCAAGACATTGTGGCAGGTCATGGCAGGTGCGGAGATCTATGCGGGCGGTTGGTTTCCTCGCACCCATTGCCCCTATAAAACCGAAAGGTTAGCCCCCTGGGTTCCATATGTTGCATCCTTGACTCCGCATCTCCGTCGCTATCGCCACCACTAAGGTTTTCTACCTCCGCATCTCCGCCGCCGTTGAGCCCGCATCCATCCGGCCCCATCTCCGATGGATCCGTGGTGCCATTCCGACCTCACCTTCCAGCGCATGGAGGGCCTCGTCCGTCGCGGTCTTCTCTGTGCGTGGACCTCGACTGAGGAGTGGCTGATGCCCGATGAGGAGGATCTGTTGTCACCGCTTGACGACTACATGGTGTCGTTCACCCACTTCCACGAGCATGGGCTCATGACCCCTGCACACAAATTCCTTCGGGGACTGCAGCACTACCACAAGATTGAGGTGCAGCTTCTCAATCCCAACGGAATCTAGCACATGGCATGGCGGCGTTCGTCGCGCTGTGCGAGGGATTCCTGGGCATCAGCCCCCAATTCGACTTGTGGAGGTACTTCTTCGCCGTCACCCTCCAGAAGGAGAGGGTGAAAAGCAGCAGGCAGGAGCTGCAAATGCCGATGGGGTGCGCCGGCATCCAACTTCGTAACAATCAGGTCGGCGAATACCCGTCCATGCGGCTTTTGACGTCCAACAAGGGGTGGCACTCGCAATGGTTCTACCTCAATTACGATGCTACCTCCCCTCTGCTGGAGTTCACCGAGCGCCTGATCAAAGAGGCCCCGAAGCAGTGGAGGAAGTGGGGCGCCTCAAAGAAGGACAAGAAGAAGATCCGAGACCACATCGTCGCCATCCACATCTTGAAGGAGAACGGCCTGAAGGGGTCGGGCATCATTGGGGCTTACCACGCAAGGAGGGTGGCACCATTGATGATGCACGCACTCTCGCTGTATGCAATGGTGCCCGAGGCGTCGTTCAATGGAACGGCGCTCGCCGAGGGGACGCTCCCCAACTCTGAGATCGCACAACGTATCAAGGAGGCGATGGAGCCTTTGTGGGATGATGCGGGTGCTGCCCTCAACTTCATTTACCCGGTGCGGGGGCATCCTCCGATGCGGCCGAAGCCAGGCTACGTCGTCTTCGTAAGTTTTCCTTTCTCTTGCCTTCTCTTTAATTGATTTCCGGACCCCTTGATACTAACTTTTAGAGGGGCGGAACTAGCCGAGGGACCTCATCCTCATCGATCACCCGACGCCGTTGCCGAGGGATTTGGCCATGAGGACGGCGAATCACGGCGAGGGCGAGCGGCAGAGGAAGACAAAGGAGGACAAGAGGAGGAAGAAGCAGCGGAAGCTGTAGGTACGGGAACGAGGGGAGGATGCTGACAGCGATGATGATGACGATGATGGAGACGACAACGAGGTAGGCGACGGTATCGAGTGGGACGACCTAGAGAACGAGGATACGCTGACAGGCGTCGGTTCGTCTTTGCAGGCATCGGCACCCTACCCGTTCCATGGAGGGGAGGGCACGTGAGGGGAGCCAGCGGAGGCGGGCCGTACCGTCGACCTGCCCCAGGAGCCAACAAAGGCGGGCGGTTCTGCCGTCGCGCCCGAGGTGCTAGCAGAGGAAGGCGGCTCTGCCGTTGCGCCTCAAGAGCCGAGGGGAGCGAGCCCCTCTGCCCAGGAGAAGGTGGCTGGCTCGAAACGGACTCGTTCCGATGAGGCGGAGCAAAGGTCAGGGGGTTCGCCCCCCAGACCCATTTGCCGCCCAACGGCACTGAGGTAAGTTATCAGTTCCTCTATTTTTTTCCTATTTTAGTCGGATTTTATCGTGACTTATCTTTTTCATCCCTTGCAACGTCGGCAGGCAGCGGAATCCTTTGGCGCTGGCGCCAAAGAAGAGCATCGCCCTCCAATCGAGGCGGCAGCCTTCGGCTGGTGCCGCGCCCGTTTCGGGCGGGAGCAGGGCCAGTATATCCACGTCGCCGGCTAGTCAGGCGTCGCCTATGGTGGTGCCCATGCCCTCGGCGGGACGGGTGGACACGGGCGTTCAAGGGGCTTCCTGTCAGGCTGTCACCGCATGTACTTCGGCGTCGACGGGCCGCACAACCTAACATGTCTCGAGGCCTTCAACGTGATGGGCCAGCGTGGCTAGGCGCCGGCCTTGAGCCCACTTTCCAGTCCCTCAGGTCCCTGCGGTGGGCTGTGCGTGGGACGCCGATGCAGCGATGGGGACGGGGTCGCCGTGGCCGAGGTCCGCAGGCGGCGAGGAGGACGAACGCGGCGCTCGGGGTTCATCCAGTCAATGACGAGCAGGAACTCAACGGCGGCGTCCCGGTGGCAGGCCGCCTCTCACTGCTCCGCGGTGTCCCGCACCGCCTCGGCCCTCTTCCCTTCACTTCCGTCAGTCCCGGGAAATCGGGAATGGCTTCCGTTCCGCCGCATGCCTCCCTCTCATCCCTTGCTGACTTGTTTTTTTGTTTTACCATCGGTACTAAGAGCCATTGGATCCCATTTTGAACTCATGCGATGCCAGAAAAAGTCACGGCGTGACTTGAAATATGCAAATGCAGTTCAATAATCCAGCCTCGATCGACAGAAAAGGCCCGAATCACACGCATGCTCAGAGCTCAATGCGAATCTGTACGCAAAAAGCAGCGACAAGCCAGGAACGCAGCATAGTGATTTTTAAATCACTCCCCGAGTGTCTGATTAATATTATTCGATCACAAAAACCCCTAAAACCTTGTAGGCTTAAAATTAAACAGTGGGCAACAGATTGAAATGCAGCAATAACCAAATCTGAACACACTAGCACAAATTGTCTGGAAGCAAAGTACAGCGAACTAAACTAGGATAGGCTAGAATTAAGCAACTCGAGTTTACGGCAGTCACGCGAGGGGCAGTAACAGCACCTTGCCGCGTCGATCAGTGCTCGCCGTCTAGCAGCCTGCGGGCGATCTCGAAAGAGACGAAGGCGTCGATGCAGATGTACCTGATCTGCTCGTAGCTGAGGCAGTACCATTACGGGAAACGAGGTCTTTTCCGAGTGCAAACTACTTTATCGAGTGTAAAAAATCGGACACTCAGCAAAGACCTTATTTGCCGAGTGTCGCACTCGGCAAAGAGTTCTTTGTCGAGCGCCGGGCATGGTGACATATTCAGTAACATGACTATCATTTTTTGAATCATTAAATTCCATTATTCGTCCACGTGCAGTTCAAATTTATATTTTTTGAAAAAAATTCAAGTAAACAAAATAAATTAACTAAATATATCAAAAAGTCAAAAAAATCCCCAAATTCTAACGAGAAGTTCCTGGTACTTTAAAAGGGCTGCACAAAAAAATTTGGAGGCCAAAAACAAAAAAAAAACTTTACCGAGCGCCGGAGCATGACACTCGCCAAAGGGGGTCTTTGCCGAGTGCCAAGAATAAGGCGCTCGGCAAAGAGGTTTTTTTATTTTTTTTTCAAAATTTCCTCTTTACCGAGTGCCTTCACAGGGGCACTCGGCAAAGGTATTTCAAAAAAAAATCTATGCCAACGGCCGGATCGGGGCACTCGGCAAAGTTGCCTCCTTTGCCGAGTGCCTCCCTGATCCGGGCTTCGCAAAAAGGGGGGTGGGGGCACTTAGCGAGGTCTGCCCAGGCAGTCCAAGCCACAGACAGACAGCCCAGCGCCGCGCCGCCCTGCGCCGCCATCCGCCAACACCGACCCGCCACGCGCCCTCCCCTCAGGCGCGCCACGCGCTTGCCGCCAGCGCCTTGACCGCCACCACCGAGTTGTCAGCACACACGCAGCTGCCACCCCTTCCTGGCGCGCCTTGGCCACGCTGAGCCCCTCGCCACGCCTGCTGGCCAGCGCCAGCAGTGTGGAAGGAAGTGGCGTGGCTCGCCACGCCTGTCCGCCGCCAACGCAAGGGTGGAGGAGGAGGAGGAGGGGGAAGGGAGGAGGAGTAGGAGCCGGCCCTGCCCCCGGCCGCGCCCCGTGGACCTCCCGCCCCGACGCCACCCGCCCCTACCCCTGACGCTCGGCATGTATGCCCTCTCTCTTGTTGTTGTCGTGGTAGTGATAGTTGTAGTAGTAGTGCTAGTGGTAGTAGTAGTATTAGAAGTAGTGGTAGTAGTAGTAGAACAAGTAGTAGTAGCAGCAGCAGTAGAACTAGTGGTAGTAGTAGTAGAAGTAGTGGTGGTAGTAGTAGAACTAGTGGTAGTAGTAGTAGAAATAGTGGAAGTAGTAGTAGAAGTAGTGGTACTACTTGGATATATTCTTCTGCACGGATTGATATCCAAACTACATGCTTCTCTTGAGACATATGTGCTTGTCGGCCATCGTGCCGTTGTTTTTTGTAGGTTTTGGAAACCTCACCGTGCAGGGGAGGTTCTGCCGAATATTTTTTTTAAATGACAATATTTTGTTCCATTTTTATAGAGAATAGCCCGTCGGAGCCGAGTCGAAGTTCCCGTCACCGTGTCGGTCTGCCTGCACCTCCGAATGATGAAGTCGGGCCTTCACCATAGTCATAGTGGGCGAGATGAGTGCACGTTGTATTTTTTTCATTTGTTGTTCACTTGGTGATGGACTTGTGATATACTTGTGATGCACTTGTGGACTTTGATGGATTTGTAGATTTATTTGGATGGATTTGAGCACTTATTATTATATATGTGATATATATTGTGATGGATGTGTGGATGGATGGGATATATATGTGATCGATGAGATATATATATATATATATGTGATGAATGAGATATATATGTGATGGATGAGATATATATGTGATATATGTTTGTATGAATTTATTTGTCATGATGGAATGTAAAAAAAATAAAAATTGCTGTTTTGGGTCACTTTGCCGAGTGTTGCACTCGGCAAAGGACCCTGTTGCCGAGTGCCATGGTCACAGCACTCGGCAAAGCTAGAAAAGTGGGCGCTCGGAAAACCATTTTTCTAGCTTTGCCGAGTGCCATGACCATGGTACTCGGCAAAGAATTTTTTTTAAAAAAAAATTCAAACTTTGCCGAGTGCCGGCGAGAGGGCACTCAGCAGAGAATTTTTTTAAAAAAAAATTCAAACTTTGCCGAGCGCCGGCCAGGGGGCACTCGGCAAAGAAGTTTTAGAAAAAAAAACCATCTTTGTCGAGAGCCGGATAGAGGGCACTCGACAAAGAATTTTTTTAAAAAAAATAAAAAATCTTTGCGGAGTGCCTGTAGGGTTGGCACTCGGCAAAGCGACCGTCAACGGTGTCGGCGCCGTGACGGTCGCTTTTCTTTGCTGAGTGCCGCCGGGGCTCTCGGCAAAGCCTGTGCCGAGTGCCCGATAAAAGACACTCGGCAAAGAGGGCTTTGCCGATCAATTTTTTGCCGTGTGTTCTTTGCCGAGTGCCGCACTCGGCAAAGGCTTTGCCGAGTGCAATTTGGCCTTTGCCGAGTGCATTCGGAAAAGAACCTGAATCCAGTAGTGTACGCGTCCCTGCGGCTCATGGTGACCCTCTGCGGTTTCACGAGGTCGACGCCCATGACGGCATGCACGAGGGTGTGCAGTCCCGCCTGGCAGAGGTCCGGGCGATTCATTCGCCCTGTGGCGTGGCCACGCAGGTCCACCGTGTTGGCCACCTGCAGTCCGTGATCGTCGCCGAGCCGCTCCGCATCCGCCTCCACGCCGACGCCGAAGAAGCGGATCCCGCAGACGCCGAGGAACTCCGCCAGCGCGCCTGGGAGGTAGTCGGCGTGGAGGAGCTGGAAGATGAGGCAGCTGCGCTCGACGCAGAGCTGCAGTGTGGCCACCGGGTTCTGGTCCGCGAGGTAGCTTGGGCGCCACTCGACGTCGAGCCCGACGGTGATGTTGTAGCCGATGCCGCCGGGGCGGTGCACCGAGAGGATCTCAGCGATCCAGCGCTCCATAGCCTGGCCGGAGGATGTGACGGTGGTGGTGATCACGTCGTTGCCGAAGGTCACCACGGTCACGTAGGTCTAGGCCATTGGATGCCTCGTCGTCGTCTCTCTGGCTACGGGCTGCGACGCTCCTTTTCTCCTGCGCAAACGACAAGGGGGACTGGGGAAGAGGGGATTGGTTTGGGAACGGCTAATCGAAGAAGTGCGGCGGCGGTGGAGAACAAGAAAAATTGGTCGAGTACCATTAAAAGATGTCAACTTTAGTAATCTAACGTTAAAAGATCACCTCTTTGCAATCTAGCATTGAAAGGTCACCACGTTATTGGTTTCTACCATTCCGTGCCCTTTGCTAACGTTCCGTGCATCTCCATTAATCGAGTCATCTTCTTCCGAAGCTCTTTCCTCGTCTAACTCAACCTCGCTGCTCCTAGCCTCGCACTCGACGCGGTCGAGGGTCGTCGAGGACTTGGAGAGCGCGAGGCCCACCCAGCGCGGTACCCCCGTAGTCGAGCTCAGCCACGACCCCACTAGAGAAACGACGGCGGCAGCGTGCCCAGCACTGCCCCGTGTGCTTGGCGAACTCAATCACGCGGTCCCTGACCGGCAGAGATGACGGCGTCGACAGAGGCGTGGGTGCCGGTCCCGCTCTCGGTGGCCTGGCGTGGCACCAGCACCGGCGCGCGCGAGGATCTGTGGCAGAGACGGGGGCGCCGGTACCTTCGCATCGACTGCTCACACACCGCCGCCGCCGCGCCCAGCGTGTCGTCGCCGTGGCTAGATCCGGCAAGGTGTGTTGCCGCCGGCGCTGTTTAACCACCCATGTTTTATCTGCCCATGTGGTTTCTACGCTCATGCTCCCGCTTGACTCTGCTTTGCAGTTCTTCGTCGGAGACTAAGAGGCAACTGCGTTGTTGACGTCGTCCTTGCGCGGAGCAGGTGGTCGGTCGGGCTCCTGCCAACCCTGTTGAACCTCTTGGACATGGAGAAGCTCCTAAGCGAGTTGAGGTTCCTGGGCGCGTCCACCTCCACCGTGAAGAAAGCGTGGACGGGGCGGTGGTCCGATAGCAGGGACTCGCAGCGGCAGTACCGGGTCTGCCTGAGCCCTGCGCCGCATCACAGGATGCAGTCGCACCATGTTAGCGCGCGCCGCTTGTTACGGACGCCGTGGCCCCCGGCGGCGGTGGCGCAGCCATAGTAGGCATTGGAGTTGGGTAGTACTTGTAGGTCGAGGAGAAGGTGTTAGGCCCCTCGCTCCTGCCCTGGAATGCGCCGCCGCAGCACACCTCGGCGCATAACTGGTCGTTTACCACTATCTTTCGAATCCCGAGGGCGAGATTCATCTTAGGGGGTAGAATTGTAACAACTTAAAATTTGCTCCTTTTGAAATAGAGTTAAATTGATTTAATTGCTAATTTTTTGTGCTCATGAGAATATAGGAAAATCATAATTTTCATTAAGTTAAAATTTATCATAAGGTTTAGCAATATTGTTGTGCATACATGCTGGTGCATTTGTATTTTTGTAATGTGTGGTTTTGACAAAAAAACAAAATGATTCAAACTGTGTTTTAAAAAGATTTGAAAATAACTTTGAAATTAAAGAAAAAAGAGAGAAATCCTCCATCCTCTACTCTTTTCGGCCTGAGTGGCCTTTTCCTTCAGCTGGCCAAAGTGGCCTAACAGCAGCCGCTGCGCAAGCCCAACTAGCTACACCCGGACCCGTATGTCAGCTGCATCCTTCTCCTACCTCCCGTGCAGCAATCGGACGTCTGATGGCAGCCTCTGCCACCGTCGCTCAATCTTGTGGGATACGGCTTGGTTTTCGCACCCGACGCCTTATAAAACTTGAAGGTTCCAAACCATGCCCTCTTTTTTCATCTACGTTACGTGCCACCGCTTTCGTCCTAGCTTCGCACCGCCACGATCGCGATCTCGCCGAGCTGGGATCCGCAACCATGCCCGCCATCTGCTGCCTCGCCGCCATCTACAAACCGCTGATGAGCTTCGCGTCAAGGAAAGCCTGTTGCCGCCCAGTTGTTCTGTACGTCATCGATCTTCTACTCATCGCTAGAGCTCTTTGTCCATGAAGACACACCGCCGGCGTCGCACTTCGTCGTCGAAGCAAGTGCGGTGCCACGACTTCGCGCGTCGTCAAGCCGCAAGCCATCCCGACGAGGTCAACGTCTTCATCCACTGATTGCAACTTTCCAGTATATCACATCTGCTCTGCCTTGCCCATTGACTTAACAAGCTAATAAGTCTCTTTACGTACTAAACAAGGGCGCCAGCCTGCTATTCGTTCTCCATTCAGTTCAGAAGTAGCTGTCGGCCATGCAAGTTCACCGCCGCCAAGTACTTTCAGCCATCTCATCTTAACATACGTAAGTTCTCTCTACATACCAAGTGTCGGTGTTTCGAGTGACCACCAACAAGTAAATTTTTAATATTACGCGTCTGGCTCGGATGGTGTGTTTAGAGGACATGAGGTTTATACTGGTTCGGGTAGAATGTCCCTACGTCCAGTTCGTTGCTGCTGCTCCTGTTACTAACACTAAAAGTTCATAGTAGGGGTTACAAATGGGCGAGAGAGGGACATGTCCCAAGTCTCTGGTAAAAGGAGTGAACGGATGCTGAGAGCTCGGTTGCTGCTTAGCTGTGTGATCAGTTCGGGGTTCGATGGATTTTTTTGCTTGAATCCGATCGGTCATCAGATGCCCTTCATGGGATGCCCTGCTTTCCCTTTTATAGGCCAAGGGAAAGCACGGGTTACAGCGGAGGAAAAGAGGAGAATGAGAGGGAGAAGAAGTCCTACAGGATTACCGGATCCTTCTTCTCCTTCATGCAGGTCCCGCCGACCCTGTAGATGTCAACAGGGGCAGCTCCACGTCGTGGCCCTATCCGTCACTGGCGCCATGCGCAGGCGTCGTCTGCCGGTCATGGCGCTCCACTCCGTCCTAACGGATGTCGTGATGAACTAATGCGCCTATCAGTGTTTGTACGAGAGTTAGGCAGCTCATGAGGTTAGGCCCAACATGGAATGTTTGCATTGTAACCTCGTCCTCCATATCATCACCAAATGTCCAGATCAGAACAGTCGATGGCTTCGTAGAGGATTATTGATGTCTGGAGAGGTATCGACAGCCTCATCTTACAAAACATTGAGTAGTTGAGAGTGTGTTGTGAGATATAGAGGCGAGGTCTTGCGCTTTTTATAGAGAGTGAGGACACTGGGTCTGAGAGCTTCTGCAAAAAGTGAAAGTAACTTTTTTATTACAAATATTTGTTTGGGTTGTGAGATTGATAGCCTCATTTTTACATTATCTACATGTTTAGTAACTTTTAGAAGAGGTAATGACGGGTCAGCGTTGGGCCTACTCTGAGCAGTAGCAGGAACAAAATTACAAATAGTCTACATCAATGGGTTAGATGCTTGGACTAATTGTGTTCGTTTGTCTTCCTATCTCTTTGGTTAGAAGGTTACATTCATCTGAGGTTAGTCGAGCTCAAAGCCTTAGGTTATGGGTAAGTTGAGAGTATCTTTGCGTTGAGAGAAAAACACAAAAATGATCTATATCTTGCTAAGTTGGTTTGATTCCTAAGACCTAAATTTGTTATAGGTGCTTGTGTTTTGGTTGGTGATATACCCTCGACTTACAGACGACATCGATGTGCTCATAGTCAAATATGGGCCTACATGTGAGTATTTGAGTCTAGATTAAAAAGGAACAACAAGAAGTTGGTGATTAGATGGATGATGGAAGGAAGCAACGACTTAGGGCCCTTGTATTTATAAGGTACTCTCTCCATTCTAAATTATAAGATGTTTTAGCTTTTCTAGATGTATAGCTTTTGTTATACACATAGCACGTTATGTCTAGATACATAATAAGAGCAATATATTTAATAAAAAAAGCTAAAACATCTTATAATTTGAAATGAGTGTTAATTTAAAATGTGATCAAACACTTTTTCACAAGTGTAGGGGTAAACTTCTCCGGAATTACAGGATCCATGAATTTCCATGCATCCAAAAGATTTCCCACGCATCATTTCAAACTCAAACGAAAAGGCAAACAAAAAACACAGATTTCCAATGGTCCAACACTCCAACGCAAAAGTGTTACCTTCGCATAATAAAGAGAATACAACGCAGCAGTATTTTGAAATTTGAAACGGTGAACAGAGCGGAGATAGCTCGTACGCAAAAGGTGTGTGCGTCCTATAAGGACTCTGGCAGCGAGCGAGAGACATGAGTTGCTGCGGCTGGAAGACATCACAAAGACACAAACCATGCGCTTGCTTTTGTGCTCGTGGTACTGTTACTGCTGCCTGCTCGCTGGCAGGAGATGGAGGCAGTGCAACATGGCAAGCGAAGCAAATCGTGGTGTCAGACAATAGGTTGACCGATCTCCTCCATAGGTTGACCCATCTCCTCCTCCGCGGTCACAGGCCGGCACCGGCTGCCGCTCTCCCGTCTGCTCTCCCGTCTGCTCCATCGAGAGGATTCATGTGACGGGTCTTGACCACGTCGCCCCGCCCTCCCGGCCTCCGCTCCTCCGGGGCCACTTCCTCGGCGCCGCAGCGTCTCGCCTTCCACTCCGGGCAAGCATAAGTCGAGCTCAAACATGGACACCACGCAAAAAATTGCATGCTCTAAAGCAAACAACAAGCCATGAACAACAAACACATCAGGCATCATAACAGTTCGATTAATCCACGACTCCACCACGATTGTCTGACTGATTATTCTTCCATCCCGGAAAGTGCAGAAACATCTAAAACTTGTTTTTACCTTAAACCTACAGTAACAGGCGATTGATGAGAGAACAAACGCATCTAATGCACTAGGAAACAACCTACTAGAACATGGCGCATCTAATTCACGGGACTCGCGGCGGCCGCCTGGACTCGATCAGTAGTCGCCGTTGAACAGCCTCCGGCCGACCTCGAAGGACACGAATGCATCGATGCAGGCGTACTTTACCTGCTCGTCCGACAGGTAGTACGCATCCCAGTCGCCCGTCCGCACCCACTGCGGCTTCTCGACGTGGGCGTCCATGACGGCTGCCGCGATGCCCTTCAGGCCCGCGTTGCGGAGGTCCGGCCGCTCCATCTTCTCCGCCGCGAGGTACGCCAGGTCCACCGTCTGGTTCACCTTCAGGCCGTAGTCGTTCCAGAGCCGCTCAGCGTCCGCCTCCACGCCCACGCCGACGAACGTGTAGCCGGCGCCGAGGAACTCCCCCAGCGCGTCGGGGATGTAGTCGCAGCGGAGGAACTGGAACACGAGGCACCGGCGCCCGACGCAGAGCTGGAGGATGGCTGTTTTGCTGTACGCGCGGCCGAAGCTGGGGCGCCACTCCACGTCCAGCCCTACGACGAGCTTGTGCAGGCGGCGGCGGTGGACGGCGAGGACCTCGTCGAGCCAGCCCTCCACGGCCGCGCCGGATGCCGTCACGGTGGTGGTGATCACGTCGCTCTCGAAACCAACGGTGCACACCTTGGTGGCGGCCATTGGATCCGATCTCCTAACCCCGAGTGTTCCTTCTCTCTTGCGCAGACGACACAAGATGCTCTCTGGGACTCCGTGGGTACCGGGCGTCCAGGGGCCAAAACTCATTTAACTTTTGACAGCGTTACACACAAAGAGTTGGATATCTATTTCGTCTTCTCCGGCAACCAAGACTTAAAAAAAACTCTTCCTATAGATATGTCTCTCTTTCTATAAATGGATCTCCAGGAGAGATGATATTCAGATTTAGATTATACCTCTCAAGACACCTAAAATAGATCTTCCACATAGATATTATGTTGAAAGTTATAGGTATTTTGTTGGAGACCCATTTTGAATTTGAATCTACTTATAGGTCTCGTGCTTGGAGACGGACTTACGAAGGAGAGAACTGTGCGTATGATGACAAGGGATAATGGCACATTTGCCCCTGCTTTTATTTCAGTTCTGCACTCCTTTTTGTTTCGCAGAGAGAGTATACGTGAGGATCAAAGAATTTGCACAATTGTCACATGGAAAGCAGGGGCAAATATGCCAACATCTCCTCTTGGGATGATAATTTACTCACCTGTACTTCCTCTCTCTCTCTCTCTCTCTCTAAAACTGGAGGTACAATTTAGGAATTCAGATTCTCCTTAAAACGATTTGGATTTAGATTCTCTCTCAAAACATTTTGAATAAAGAATCATAATCACTTTAAGAAGTTGTTTGGATGTTAGCCTGGATTTGGATTCCTAAAGAGCATTTTTTTAATAAAAATCATATAAATATTGAAATATGCTTTAAAAAAGTTTGAATTTTTTGTATGTGAAGAACAACTTAGATGTAACCCATTTTAACTCGTTGCACTAAAAAGGATTATAATTGAAAAACTATAATCACTAGTATAGAGTAGCAAAAGTAGATTCCATGCGAAACCAGTCTTCCCGCATTTTGAGTTCCAAAGAAAGCTAAAGCGTTTCAGGACCGAAACGCTTCACACTTTGTGCATTTGACAGAAATTCTTAGCAGAATCAGAACCGATTCAGCCTTCCAAACGGCCCCTTAGTGACAGAACACCTCATTTCCTTACATCTCTTGATTACTCGGGATTAAGTGCAGCTAGAAATAATAATAGTATTACATTTTTTCATAAGGGTCCGTTTGAATCCTTTTATTTAGAGGAATTGAAATCTACTTAATAAATTAGGCTATTTGGCTTAGAATTTAGCATTCCGCCGCTTCCCAAAGTTCACATATAAGCCTATCTTAAATTCATAAGTTGAGAGATACAAATTGATTCTATAGATCACTATTCTATATTTCTACTTTACAACTTATAACACACTCTTTAACTCACTCCCATACGACAGAAATGCAATATATAAGTATCTCTCTCGTATAGCCAACAATAATATACAAATATAATCTATATACAACCGTATTAGCTTAATTAATATATATATAAATTATGATTCTTAAAATAAATTTAATTTCAAGGATCCAAGCAGGGCTAAGGGAAGTTTATTAGCATTTTCTTTATTTTACTTTTTCATGCGTTCTCTCGACTAGTAGAAGGGAGTGTTTGGTTTCTCCTCCTAAATTTTAGTCGCTGTCCCATCGAATGTTTAGACACATATATGGAGTATTAAATATAGAATAATTATGAAACTAATTGCACAGCTTGCGACTAATTTGCGAAACGAATCTTTTAAAGCTAATTAATCCATGATTTGACAATGTAATGCTACAGTAAACATGTGCTAATGTCTGATTAATTAGGTTTAATAAATTCGTCTCATGGAGTACCGATAGATTCTGTAATTTATTTTTTATTAATATCCGAACACCATATACAACATCCTCACATGATACTTTCTAAATTTTAGTCATCGGATCTATACACCCCCTAACCATTGCAAGGGGATACGATGGCACACTGGAACCGAGAAGGTTTTCCCTTACACGCTTTGAGAAACAGAAACTTTTGCTTTCTGGCGTTCGTACTGTAGCAGCGCAGCTACTCTGCGCGTAGGTCTGCTCGTTGCTCCCTGCAATGCTCATTGGCAGGAGATGGCAAGCGAATCAAAGTTGTCAGGTTTGACTGATATCTTCATCCATGCCAAGTGCTGCAAGTGCAGGTGCGGGACGGCAGGACTCAGGATCAGGAGTCGCAGGACCAACAAGACCGTCCCTGAGGGGATATTGGCATATTTGACCCTGCTTTATTCGGCTTTGCCCTAAAAATACTGTTCACTAATTTATTATGAGAAGAAAATATTGTTTCTTTGTTGAAATAATATAGCTTATAAGACAAGCGAACTTGGTTATAATATTCTCTTTTGAATGGAAAGAGCAGGGGGTGATCAAAGAATTTAAACATTCAAGTCGACAAACCATTAGGCCTCAATGCAAATGGTGGTAGAAACGTAGAGTTGGCATCAAAATATCTGGTTTGCGTATTCGGTATCTCTATGTTTGTCGTTACTCATCACCTCTCATCTTCCCCTTTCTATCTCTAAAATTTAGTTGCCTAAAGTTAAATGCTAAATTTAATATCACTTTAGCTCACTTGTGTGGCCTAATAAACTAATAATTTTGTTGTGAAGTTGGTTACTATAAACGTTACTTTATTAGACCACCTGTTTGGAGTCTTAAGTGCTAAAGTGACCGTTGGATCGGCCGGGCTTATAGCAAGCAAAAATTGGTAAGATCTCTTTTAGAGCACCCTTAAATAACCTTTTGGTTATTCTGAACTGGCCTCGGATACATGACTATTTTCTTATAATCCACTTGGCATTAGGGGTACTACCTCCATTCCAGAATAAATCAATTCATAGAGTTGTCTTAAATCAAACTTTTTAAAGGAAGAACAAATTTATAGAAAAGAACTCGAAAAATTTATGGCGTCAAGTTAGTATCATTAGATACATTATAAACTATTTTTCACAATGTGCTCATCAGTAGCTGTCATTTGATACACTGTAACCTAAATTTATAGAAAAGAGCGCTAAAATTTATGACACCAAATTAGTATCGTTATACAGGCCCACTGAATGTTGGCAACGGAACTTCATCGGTAGCTTTGCAGACTACGACATCAATCAACCAAATGGGCCCTTATGTTATTGTGGTCCAAAACTATTGTAGTTAATTATAAAAGATGGTAATATCATATGTTCTGTTCGGGCTTTATAATTCACTAAGGATAATTCAATCCATCATCTAGTATTGTTTGGACTTTGTACCTTTCAAAGGAGTTGGATTGTAAATGTTAAGAGAGTACACACATTTCATCCTCCTTTCCAAACAAAAAAGAAGATTGTATTATTGAAGACTACATTGATATAAGAAAATTATTGAAAGGTGCATTTCTAAATTAATTACTATTGTTTGATTAATACATTTATTCTTTTAAACTTGATGAATACATTTCTGATGGATCTAGGACTAGTGATCTTTAGCAGATGAGCCGCCCAATGTTCACTCGAAAACTTTTCCGGCCTGCGCCAGTAAGCATCAGGCCGGCCCAACTTGTTGGATATTTTACTCCTCTCGCGCTCACCCCGGCCACGGATGCTCCTTTGAGCCGAGCGCACGTCCGTCGTCCAGAGCGCAGACGGCAATGCAGGCCCCCGCGCGCTCCTCCGCTCCATCCTCGCCGCTCGTCTCCTCCGCGCCACCGCTACCTCCACGGCCACAGCGCGTCGCTTTCCCCTCCCTCCGCCGCCGTGATCTCCTCCTTCTCCCGGCGGCGCTGACCCTCCCGATGGCGCCCGCCCCCTTGCCTGCGTCGGCGCGCGGGCTGTTCCGCATGCCCCCGCCGCGGCTGGCGAACCGCTACTTTCTGGTGCGCGCGGGCGAGTCCGTGTACGAGGGGCAGGGCCTCCTCCGCACCAACCCGGTCGCCAAGACCTCCGTCGACAGCGGCCTCTCCCCCGTGGGGCTCCGCCAGACGGCGCGCGCCGCGCTCGAGCTCCAGCGCCTCGGCGCGTGCGAGGACGACTGCTGGATATGGCCGTCCATCACGCAGCGCGCGTACCAGGCGGCCGAGATCATTGCCGCGGCCAACGGGATCAACCGCAGGTGAGGTGCCCGCGCCTACTCTCTGTTACTTCAACTGCCTCTTTGATTCCATATGGATACTGAATTAACTTGCCTTGATTGCAGTCGCATCGTGCCGGAGTACAGCTTCTTGGATGCACGCGGATTGGGTGCGTTTGAGGGGAAGAGCTTAGACACCTTGCCCGAGGTACTTATTTCTGCACATTATATCATAAACAGGCTTTCACTACAGTTGCGTGTAAGTAGCATTTGTGGGGAGTACAAGAGCAGCTAGCTGCTAGCTTGAAAGGAACAATGTTTCTTATTACAAGACAACAGGGATACAGCATGTTTTCAGGTTCAGATGTTGCTTAACTGCTTCATCATCATCGTAAACCAAACTATTGTCAGATCACTGCCAATGCTTTTTACACTGCTGAATTAATTAGTGATAATGGAATTCCAGCAGATACATAAAGCTGCTGGGCTTTCTGGGCATGAACTAATAGTCAATTTTTCACGAATGTGTATCCTCCTAAGATAATGGATTCCTACTTTTCAATTACTTTAATCGAGCTGCATGCTCTACATTAGATTGTTTTTGCAACAAATTTACTCCTATTCTGACTGAACTATGCTTTTCTTGGCATGATGGCTGCATTAGGTGTATGCGTCAGATAACATTTCTCCAGACATGAAGCCTCCTCCTATCAGTGATGGTACTCCAAATGAGAGCGTAGCAGACGTATTTGTTCGGGTGACACAGCTCATGTCAATACTAGAGACCCAGTACTCAGGGGAAACTGTTGTCATTGTTTCACCAGATTCTGACAACTTGTCAATTCTTCAAGCTGGATTGATTGGGCTAGACCTTCGGAGGTAAAACGTAGTAACCTGACTAACTCTAGTGTATTCGGTATTGTACTTGGTTATGCAGGTTTTTTCTCTGGTGAACAACACTGCACATTCCTCATTTGGTT